AAGGATCAGTGAGTCATACATATACCTGGTAGATACCGACCGCATCAAAAGAAATCAAGAGTAACGCGTCATGTGATGCGAGTCATGAAATCCCTTGATCTCGACGACCCTCCCATACTGTCTCCGGACCTGGGTGGGGCCAACAGCAGAGACTCCACCCATCCAGACGAGCGTCTCCGAATGATAAACCCTGATAGTGTATGCTCCCCATCATCTGAAGGAGACTGGAGCTTGAGAAGGTCAAAGAGCCACGCAGAGGGAGTGTATCCTCATTCACTGGAAGAGGAGGGGGAGGAGGGGGAGGGTGATAGGATTGTTGGGGGCGGGTTTATAATATCGGAGGGTAAGGTGGGACGGAGGAGAGCCTCGAGACAGCTCTCTAATAATATTGAGGACAGAGGGTTGAGTAAGTCAATAGATACACTGTGATGGTGTAAGATTTTGAATGGATTATTATAATGTACTTGTTGTTTATGGCATTGGGTTTTTATTTTTATTATTTTTGTTTTTTATCACACTCATTGTTATTTTAATTATATTAAATTATTATTATTATTTATATATGATGACATACACAATTGTTTTTATTAAACATTGTTATTGTTGTTTTGTATTGTGACTTCATTATAGTGTCATTTTTAATTGCATCTTTTGTGTGTTTGCAATTTTTTATTTAAATTTTAAACTTAATAATTATAATCACACATAAAGTCATGATCAATGGAAATAGTTTCATGATTAATTTAGTAATGCTGTATTAGAACTAGTTTATAAAATTAATAACAATACAATGTATAAATCAACAAAATATTAGAAAATAAAACTTCTATATTGATTTATATTTATCCATTAGTTTATCAGCTAGTGCAGTAGCTCTTCTAGTATCTTCCTCTCTGAGTATATCTAAGAATATACCAAATACTTCTCCTTCCATACTAATGGAGCTTGAAATGATGTCGAGCAATTCATCCATTCTTTCACCAGCAGTTTGTTTAGTGTAGCCATCAGTTATTCCTCTCTTCTCTCTTGCATTGATAATCTTATGTTCCAACAACTTGTCAACCAAGAAGTGAATATTAATTCCACAATTCTTTATCATTGCAGTACATTCTGTCATTACTCTATGAGCAATATCAGATCTAAATATATCTATTAATGATACAAATTCAGTGATTAGTGTGTTATTGTGTTAATATCAACTTACTAGCTTCAGGCACTGACGTTGATTCATGTACTACGTTAGAGGAGGAGGAGGGGGAAGAAGGATCTGATTAATATTAAATAAATAAACAATTGAAATGATTTATCTATTACTGGTTAATGAAGGAGTAGTTCTCAGTGATCGGTGAATGAATAATGTCTTAGGATCAGCCACTCCATCCAGTGGTATAGAATAGTGCAATGATGGTACAGCACCAGGTGACCCATATACTGATATTAGACAAGTGGAAGGAAGAGGATAATTAGCTTCACCAAACTTATCAACATCACAACGTAGAAACTATTAATATACACATACCAACCATCAGTTATACACTATATTGCAGTACTTACTCTACAAGGCTTAAGGTGAGGCTTAATACTCCAACCAGTGAATGGCTCATCTTGAGGTGCATCAAGCCTTAACTCAATATATCCATCAAAATTTTTGAAACGAAATAGAATATTTTGCCCTCTTTCAGCATGAGAACAGTCTTTCTTAATAAACTACATGTACATACAAAGTGACTACATCATTAAGATAAGCACGTATTACCTCAAGCAGTGCATTGAGATCTTTAGCAGCAGCAAATGTCACCAAGTCTTCAGCTCTTTTCTCCTCATAATAAACCAGTCCAGCATAAGCCATATTCTCTACTATACCACTGGAAACTACTACTTTACCTATACACAAATATACATTAATTAATATTCACTGCATGTTGATGTACTTACTATTAACATCTGAACTAAACTCAGTACAAGGTATTGGAACAGTTGCTTCTTCATGCTG